CTACTTGAAATTTACAACTTAAAGTCATTAAGTTAGCCCCTTTATTTTGCTACTTTAGTTACTCAAGCATAAAGTAACGGATAAGAGAATATTATGTTCTATTTTCAGTGATAGATCCAATGGGAAATACTGAATATTAGCTAATGTTTTTATCTGAAACATCTTTATGTTTTGTTTCGAGACAGGTCCCAAGAGTCCTGACTACTAATTTAAAGCTAACTCTGTGTCCAAATACAATGTCTACAATTTATACAAAAATATACAAAGATATAAATATGAAACATTGATTTTAATTCCTAAATGTAACTTTATTTTCAACCTTCATAAATGGAAAACTAAGCAAAGGAAATAAGTTCTACATCTATATTTTTTCATCACCATCTTCCGACGTCTAGCAGACTCATAAGCCTGACTGTGGAGCATCTGGCGCGCACCACATTAGTATGTTGATGAGGCAATCGCGATCACCAACCGGGATAACGTGATTTATATTGTCGCAAGGGCTGACACCTATGTGATATTTTATTGTTGTAACATTACTGATTTTATTGTTCTATTACCGTTTATACACTTACTTATAAGTTCATCTCATATACATATGTATTATAAAATAATATATAGAAATCTGCAAATTATGAGCAAATTAGAGCGATACAGTCCGTATCTACAAGAGCTCGTAATTCAGTAAAGCTAGTTACTACGGATGATGCTGTTTATGACTGTAGACGATAATAATCACTTTCTATTCATGGGCTGTTGGCAGTGTTGCCATTCCCATTCCAAAAAACCTTACAATAAGCAATATGATGGAAATTAAAATATTTCCCTTGAAACACATTTTTATTTGGCTTTCAAAATAGTTATCAACCCTGTACGTGCGGTGGGGGACAAAATAGGGTCGTGTGTCAAATTTTTCACGTATTTTCCTTCGATAGGTTGTCGGCACAGCGGAGAGCGCGGTGCCCGGTGGTGTAATTGATAGGACTACAGGACAGATGATATTAATGTGTCCCGACTACAACGTGCGCACACAATTTATGTAGCAATACCGCACAGCCTAGGGTTTCGATATTCATATCATAAGATTACGTAGACATCGTTTTTTTTTTGACGAGTACAATCTAGGGGGGCCTTGCTTCAGTCTAATCACCTGACAATAACTAATACAGATATAATAGTAAATAATACAGAAACACTAGGAAAAATAATTTGATACATACCTACCTATGTTTTTTACCACTCAAGTCGGTGTAATCTATATGTATTATAAGCCCAGTAACTAACTTTATTTATAATAAATCCATCTCTTCTAGGAAAATGAGTGATATTATATTAATTTATATCTGTGAATTAAAGTGTTGTAATAATTTGCAAAGACATGATGACATAGTAATATAATAATAATATATATACTCAATTAAAAATATATCATAATATTTTCACAGGCATAAAGAATAAATCTCGAACGCTTACGAGCGCCATCTATACCACACATGAGTAAATACAATTTACGCAGCGGGAGTGCCATCTATCGGTATGTTTTAAAACCAATGATGACAGGTCACAGTAGTTCAAACTTTTTATGATATAATATACATTCAACAGATGGAGCCACAGTATTAATATTTTAGCAATTTTCAAATATTTATTTCCTATATATAAAAATTGTAATGTTCAAATAAAAATTATATATTCTATTTCAATAGGATATAATGAAAAACAATACTTTAAACATAGTAGAATTTCATAACTATCGGTATTGGTATAATTATATATAATTTATTATATATAGACATTGCAATTGATATACAACTATATTATAATCTTCATATTATAATAATAAAAACATTTGTGTGCTTTGATATGAAGAAATTATTTTATTCCAAGTATGTTATTATATTCTTATCATGTAAATTGAGTTAAAAGTGGTTTGCATTCAAAGGGTATGGTCTTCATCCTAAGTATGATAAAATCCAAACATATTTTATATTCGTACGTCACACACATACCTACGTAAAAAAATTATATGCCAAGATCTGGAAACAATATATTATACTCAACAATATATTAAAACCAACCTGTTATACCACTTGTTCAACATCTGGCCTACGTTGTAAGTTCTGACTATTGCTGCAAGGGCCAACCCCTTTAATGTCCACTACTTCATTGAGTGGAAGATATTTTCTAGTAATGGGGACTAAGTGGTCCTTTACTGCAATGTATAATTGTACCATGAATCTTACTAATACATTTTATGTTATCTGTGCTAAAATTATAAACGCGAAAGTTTGTATGTATGTATGTTTGTTACTCTTTCACGTAGAAACGTATGGATTTTGATGAAACTTTACAGTAATAACTCTAGTTTATACAGCAGAATAACATATAAGTTATAAATTTCACGCGGATGAAGCCGCGGGCACAGCTAGTATATAATAATTTAGTAAATTAATACTTAACGATCACATAAGTTGAATGTTTTACCACATAGAGTACTTAAAGAAAAACGTGTAAATATTGGAAAGTGTTATAGATCTATTACCACCTTAACTAAAATCTTATTGGTAAAATTAATTATTGCTTTAGTAAATACATATATTTCGCAGCACTATCAATAAAACTAAATCTCATGCAACTAACGTAAGAATGCACTCAATAATAAGTTCCTTTAAGAAGATCCTTTACCCGTCGTGACTCCCTGAAGTGGCTTCTTTGTGGGGAAGATGGCTCATCTAGATAAGAGGGTGCCGCTTTCACGTCCACAATTCTGACGGTATATTCTACCCTTACAAATTCACAACTTAGTCACTCCAGACAAGCTTCTATAAGGCTTGAAAGGGAATTAATTTTTGAGACGCGCTTAGTACGCGAGATTGATGATAACCGTATCTTAAATGAAGCATAAAATATTATAGTTTAATAATAAATACGTTGTAGACAAATATCAGTTTCAACGTAACTTCGGGGCTTATTATATAAAGCTGTTATTGATAATTCTCACTTGTAACAGATTATTATCGGTTTCCAAAATTCTGTTAACCATGTGCGTGAGAGTTTGAGATACAAAGCAAACTAAGTTGTACAGTTCATGATTACAAATGTTAAAAAAACTATATATTAGTAATATCGCAGAATAATAGCAGTATTTATTATATGATAGTAGATATATGTACATGAGACAGATATAAAATTCGCCTCAATCCTGAAAAGAATGCTGCTTGTGGAGTACTGGTTTGTTGCAATCACGGAAATTAATAAATTGTTTTATTTCGTTAGATTCATACAATAAACATATTGATGAAAATATAAATTAATATAAAAAATAAATATTTAAAACTTCATTATGTACAAAATAATGTACCTTATTTTATTCTATCTCTATACGTAGATAAATATGAAAAGAAAGACTTACAAAGTAAAATCATAATTGAAATCCTTATTAAGGTATAATTTTATTTATTTATTTATTATATTTGTACCACTAATATAATAAATAAATAAATAAAATTATACTACTAAAAAAATTTAATCAATATATGTAATATTTATTAAATATTTTTTTAAATACTATCTATTAGATATATACCTAACGACAAAGACTCCAAGTATACATATATATAATACATGATATGGGATTGGTTTAGTTTCCTAATTCTGCAGAATCTGAACCGATAACTGTTAAGGAAGAAAAGCTCTCTAGAGGCGACCACACGGGTTTACACAGCGTAGAACCCCATTGAAAAATGACCTGCAGGTTTAGAGTTCAGGATAGCGGTGGTTCTAGGCCATACTTCACTATAGGTAGTAACAGTTATTATCTGTGTACAATAGTACATATCCATCTATAAATCTTCCTGAGTGTTTCGAGATAATACTGTAGATTCTTACGAAATTCATTTAAAAGTCAGAGTTCTCGGTTAGAGACTGTTGAATAATACAGGAAGTATCCAACGGCGACACTTTCTCGAAACAACATCCTGTACTAGGCGGGTACTTTTTGCAATTGTATTGTAGTCATTAATATTAAAACCGTTGAAAGTACTCTTGAAGTAAAATAAATTCATTTTAATGAATTGTCTCTGAAATATCTACTGACTAATTTACAAACAAACGGTAGAGAATATTACGTAACTAAAGAAACGGTTTCATTGCGCACATATATTATGTTTAATCCTGCCTATTATTTTAGTTATCTATTAATTTACTCGGAAACAATAAGCTAAGCTGAATTTAAATAAATTGTGGAGCATTTGCAGAGTTCATAAAAAATATAAATAATTGAACATTTGTGAATTTTACACTGATGATTAAACTGTATAGACTACAATAATTTTTCTGCGTCTTGATTACAGCTGTGAAGGTACTGCGATGTCAGTAGCTACGCAATGAGTACATAATTTCACGTGACGTCGTTTGTCAATATTTGAAATATATATATGTATATTACAAATTCCAGTACTAATCGGTGATTTTTCCTTACATACGTAAGAAAAAATCACCGATTAGTACTGGACTTGAGTAAAAATTTTATATAAATAATATACATAGAGGTCGACTTCTACCTTTAAACATTTTATACACATTGCATGGTATATTGGCGCAGTAAAACACTGCATTATGTAAATAGTTTGCTTGTTTTTACCTCTTGAAATTTATATGCCAACTTACCAAATATATGCAGTATTTAGAATGACAGTACCTATTTATCACGATCAACAACCCGAAGGAAGCGCAAGATTTTTAATAACGGGACCTAGTAGCCCCATTACCATCCATGTACCTAGGTTGGCCTTCTCGCAGTCCTAGCTGGATACCATCGTGGTAGTGAATATAGTGAATTCGTCGCAATGGACTAACTGACCTAACTTGTGCTCATCTTATAATTTTCCTCTACCTCCACCTCCCCCAGCCACCATTCTATTACATGTCACTAATACTGTCAATCTATCTCATGAACCAAGTCGTGGACAAAACTTATAATATTATAATAATTTAATAACCTGTGAACCAGAAGCAAATTCATCTGCAGGAGGCTCCCTTGTGAATCTCTCAAACTTGAAGCTGTTTGAGCGGTAAAGCTCGTTATCCTCGCGGGAACGCCTGCCGCGGCAAAACCGGCGAGTGATTGACGTATGCCTGAAGCAAACCAGACTGTTAATAGCTTAATGAAACTACTAAAACTAAATAAATATGCGCTATGGTGCTCAAATATAATATATTTGTAAAATTTTAAAATAATTATCTAAAAAAATTATTTTTGTGAGTAATGGATAATTCTACACATCTACACATGTAAATAAAATTGGAGTGTCTGTTTATAATATTGAAATAATCGCTTTTTACTATATGCATATGAAAATATAAATACGGTATACACCAAAATAACAATTTTTGTCTGACTGTTTGTTCCGGGTAATCTCTGAAATGGCGGTACCGATTTTGATGGGACTTTTATGAGATTTTATTAAAAATGAGAATAGTCTTTGTTTTTAATTACTACGTGCATTGAGTATGCACCGGCTATAATAAATCAAGCATTCATTAATTGTACGATAATATACGTTCTCGAATAAAATTGGAAAAAGTATAACTTTATATAGGAATTACGATTAGATATTAGATTTACGATAAGAGATTTAATCAAAATCGATCGATCAGACCCGAAATGAGAAGAGAACGCTTGATTAAAATACCAGAAACATTTAAAATTAAAACATAAAACATATTATTCCTTGCTGACTGAATGATACTTGTAGCATGGGACAGAGACCTTAAATCTGTGATACTGTTCCTCCTGAATATATTTTTTACTTACTGTAATCAATATAAAATTAATGTGTCAGGAACTTTTTATTCAAAATTCCGCCAAGTATTTCCTTTATTATAATTCTGTTAAACTACGTTTGCGTTACCGGTATACATGCATAGATACTTATGTTGCTATAGATACTTTTTTTAATCAGTCTAAAACGTAGCCAATGTCAATCTAAAAAGTAGTCCATCGAAAGCATTAGTACAGGCCACAATGATAATTTTTGGTTATTATCAAGATATCAAGAGATAACAAACAAACTCACTTTCAGATGACAATGTATTATTCAGGGTTTATAATTCCGTTTGCTTGAAATAAGCTATCATTCAACTCGTAAGAAGGTCAGATAATATAGAAAACCAAGTAACTCTTAGTACAGACAATTTTTTTACGGTTGTTTTACAATTATACACATTACGGTTGTTTTAGAATACTTAAATGGGATATTTATAATAAAAATATTGTTTATAAGCCACCAATATTTCGAAACTCTTACAAACGTGTTGGTATATAATAATTATCTTATCTGTGGTCTCGGTCAGGGATCAACTGGAGTTGGAGGTTGATGCAAACAATTGTTACGAACAGACTGATCTGTCTACCAGCTTCTTAATTTTATTGTATTCCAGTATGTCTTGGTAAAGATAATTTTTTCACTGTTGTATACAATTGTACATATCATACACATGGGATGTATTCCATGATGATATTATTTATGAGCTTCCAATATTTCGATGCAGTTACAAACGTCTCGATCGAAACCAAGAAGTTTGTAACAGCGTCGAAAGCTTCATAATCTATTTAAAAAAATGGTAAATATAAGATGTGAAAATACAATATTGGCACTATTTTGTTATCATTATAGTAATATTCACTGCGTGTGGGTGTAGGTAGGCATGTTAGTAATGAGTTCCTTTAGCCGCTCACAGAGAACAAACTACGGGACAGAATTCGTCGTCGGAGCATTCCTCCCTCATGTTCCAAGTGTTGGCACATAAAAAATAATTATTATTTTAATCACATTTGTTTTTTAACAATAAGCAACACCAACAAGATTGGTTTTTTTAATATGTGATAATGGCGGATCAACAGAAGGAGGATTATAAAATGAGCATGAACAGATCAGTAAGTCCATCGTGGCCAATTCACTTGGAATCTATCACGATGGTTCCTAGGGGGAATCGCGTGGAGATCAATGGTATATTAAATCATGGTATATTACTAGCGAAGGGGCATAGGTTAGCATAGCGATGGTAACAACTACAACTAACAATCCTCTTCCACATAATGTATAACTATTATCAAAAGCATTTAACAGAAAACGGTACATTTTGAAGTTAATATCTAAAAATTATTCAGAATTAGTAAGATATCGTGTACCGTAGGAATAATAAAAATAATTCCACTCAAACAATCTCAACCAACAATTTTTTTTAAATTGTTAGAAATTTGTATTTATGGTCCTTGAAAAGCAATCTGTCAAGCTGACGTTTTTAGTTTGATATCTAAGAAATAGCTTATTTATTTACGAGAATTGCAAAGACCTTGTGATCACATTCATACTTCATGGATGTTGTGGCAAAAATATTTAATTTCCATATTCAGACGAAAGTAACAGAATTTTTACAAGTAACATAGCTATCATGTGTGTGTGTGTGTTTAAAAAGAAAGAATGTAGTAGTGTAGTGTAGCTAGATGTAATTTACAATCGTAAAAATATCATATATACCTATAGATACTTGTTATTAACTTGTTGTTACTGCATTGCTAAACAGCAGACAGTTATCTAGGATAATTCCCCATAAAAGAAAGCTGACTAATTATTTCCATTTGAGACAGCAATTAAAACATGCAATAGAAGCAAAACTTTTATACTTTCATTCAACGTAATGTAAAAGTATCTTTGCTGCTAATGCCTGTCAGTCACTAATCATAATCTTGCAATCTACCGTATAGCAGTGTGGTGTAGAAGCACTACACTACACACATTAAATGTTCACTTACCTAGACTCACTAGAATGTAAAGGCCATTGTATTCCGAAGATCTTCAAACGAGCAGGAGGTCGGCGTTTCTGTTCCGATCTAGTATTTTCCTCTACTGGCGGAGTATGATGCCTCCCTCCTGAAGACGCTCTTGTTCCACTTCTACGGCGTCTTCTGCGTCGTCGTTCAACTAAAATTAAATTATCGCCGTTCCTTATAATATATGAGGAACGTAGTGTCGACTTTTCCTCGCCCTGGCGTTGTCTGATCAAATCAGCAGTTCTCAATGTATGAATATTTTGGTACTCTGCTTCTTGGGGCACAGTGGCTGTTACTTCCTGGCTAGTTCCGCTTCCATCCCTCTTCTTGCGGGAGGAATGGAGACCGACTCGACGCCAAACCTTTTCCATGAATCCGTATTTCCTCTCATCCCATAATGATTTACCTCATCGCGGTATAACCGTGAAAAATAATTGTTTTTACAACAAATAAAGTATTTGATATAGCTCAATCACACATAATACAATAAATGTAAGTTTCACTTGAAGCATTGATTTAATATTTTGTATCACGTCCAATATCTAATATATAGATATGCGTAGATAGTCCAAGCTGAAATGTACAATACAATATCACTACTAGCAATGAATCACAATTTGATCAGCCGTTCCCTGTCATTGTTCTGAAGTTCAACGCTTCTAGTTCATCAAACTGGCGGTCCCAACCGTTAGACTGTGGACTATTCACATCACACTTCCTGATACCACTGAGTTTATCACTAATCCCTTTTATTAAGACGTAGGTACTAGGTTAGTAGAATGAGGGGCGAGAATAACGTGTTTTTTGACATCGCATTTACAGAGGTCCCGGCCCATACAGGGTGCGGGTGCTTTCATTACGCATGCGCGCCCCCTTTGCTTATATCCCTCGCCTGACCGAAACTTCAAAATGGCGGACCTCCGACCCCCTTCCCGTTATTGAATATCTAATTTTATCGTTATGCATTCATTGTTATACACACAGATCTGATGCATACGCGTCGTATTTTAGGTACGTAACAAAAGTAGATATGTTGCTAATCCAATTTAAAAATTTTGATACACTACGTGTTCTGCTTGTGAACAATGAACCATATTATCATACCGATAGGAGCGATCATAGCCTTTCATTGGTTTGCTAAGCAAGCAAATTCTCAGCTGAAGTTTGAAGTTACAGCAGATAAAAATAACAATCAAGTCGCTTTTTAAATTGGGGGCTAGACAGGTTTTTACATAAATATTTTACATATTTTTTTCATATGGTTATTTTCAAGAAAATGTAAGTACGTAACTTAATAGTCGTAGTAGAAGAAGACTAGTAAAATACTAACAATTTTGCATACGCAAGAATCTAACTCCACAAATAAAAAATTAAAAAAGTAAAACCATTCATAACAATAATACAGTATGTATTGTTAAAAAATCATATAGAATAATTTAAATAAAGCAAATTAATAAAATCGGTCAAGCAATCAAAAGGTTTAATAGTACTGATTGAGAACTTCTTATCGTCTTTACTCGCGACTCGTACAATTACTCTTACGCTCTTTCACGCGCGAATCGGTTTTCACGCAGAAACGAATGAACATGTAAATGTAGAGAAAGAGAAAAACCGCGCATACTGCCAGCTCGCGCATTCTCGCATTCTTCAATTGTCAATGTTTGTAGTTTGCAAGTACCTATTATTGCAAAATTACGGACAACTGACTATGGAGCAAAGACATAATTATTAATTAGTTATGCATAGTACTTTAATCTTAAACGTGTCTTTGAAAAATAATCTCTTATTATTTTGTGGAATAAGAAATTAACGCGCGAAAATAGATAAATGCATTCTCACTTAAGTTTACGCCATGACTTTCAAATGTTTATTAATTTCATATATATGTACTATGTAAAAAAAACAGCGACTCTTATGTAGAGTAGGTAGTCTAGTGTTTTGTTTACTATCTATGTATACGAACGCTATATGGTTTAAGAACATCTAATTGAAAAATAAAATATAAACATAATGTAAAAATATAAGCTCTACAATTTCTAAAATAAAAAATTTTCGAAAATAAAAGACGAGTCTGAAATTCATTCTTTATAAAACTAAGATTTTCAGACTAGTCTCTGGTTCTAGAGCCAAGATTGTAATTCTATTTATGTACTTACCTACCTATCCATTTCCATAATATGAAGTATCCTGAAAGGTATGGTAAAATTATTTACATAAAAACATTTAACAGGCAGTATTGGAATTATTATTGTGAATAAAATGTAAGAGCTCATACAGACATAAATGTCGCAGGTTGACTTTCGACTTTTTGTTTAACCTTGTCTTGACTAAACATTAAACCTTTTAGTTTAATACGGGTAAGTATAAATACGAATAGTCAATGATAATTAAAAGTTTATCTAGCTTGCTGTTAGCATGTTAGTATAGTTGTACCTACACGCATTACTTTGTGCATGGTCCATAATTGGACCTCGTTCTGACCAATATATAAAAAAGGAAGGTCATAGTACTTCACGTGTCCGTGGTCCGATTTCGGAACTGAATATTTGTGTTTTCACACATGCTAATGATAATAGAATTAAATATAATAATACAAATCCATTAAGACATGGACCGCCGCAGAAAAACACTTAATTCCATAAAATATATAAAGCCAGACATAATAAACATATAAAAAATACCAAAACCTTTCGGCAGCTTACATAATAATATGACAGATTTAATTTTTTAGTAATTTATGGCCACTAGCGCCATCTAACGAATTTGATGAAGCCTTCAGTTATTTTATATTTTGCTACTTAATTTTTTATTTTTCTACAAATAAAACGCATGTAAGTGAGCATGTACTCTACTCTACTTAAAATAAATTAAACAGCCTCTGAAGCTATCATGATTACATATTTGTACTCTGAATATATACCTAACTACATATTTAAATATTTCATCGCTCTGGAACTGTAATTTATGAAGTGAATTTATTCAATTTTAATTTCAGATATACCTTATGCAATATATTACAAATAATGATAATAAGAATAATATCCCTAGATAATTCATGCGCGCGCCAGCGCCATCTAGTTCCAAGCTACGCAGAGAGAAGTAATGGGTACTCGACAACTGACAGATATACATAAATAGATTGTAAATACATACATAATTAATATACTTAAAAAACACCCAGACCAATGCAAAAACTCTTACAAATATGTGTACCGTGCGAGGAATCGAACCTGCGCCCATCGGAACATTCGGAACTAAATCACTGTGCAGACCATAAAAATAATCTCCAACTCTATCTATACCTAACTCTACCATGTGTTGGTATGTGTACGTACATGTAGATAGGTAACGCGTCATAGCGACAACAACGCAACAAGGTACTGGGCTTCGCGCCACATCGGCGTCGTGTCGGCGACATGCCTCGAAACGAATCATACCCCAGCGCCAGTTGCGCGGCGAGCATCGTCAATGTCTTGTCGTTGTCTTCTTTAAAAAAACATGGGTGACAAAAACTTAGTCTTAGTCAAGTCCATTGAGAAGTTTCCTTGTTTATATAACTACAACTTGAGTGATTACTCCAAGAAAGAACTCACTGACAGAGCATGGAACGAAGTTGCCAATGAAACTAAACTAACAGGTGAGGCTATATTAGATAACGCCCGTACAGCAACATAAACTTCATGTGTTCTTAGTGCTATTGTAATACAGATCAAAACGTAACATTGAGGTCAATCACAACTGGTTATTAACAGCAGGAGTGCTACCGACATGGTAATTTTGTGTTGTTGTTCGTAATATCCTATTATAATATCCTCTGAACCGTTATAGTTATAATATTACAACAATATTAATTTGTCGTATTAATTAAAATTGTTAACACTTGTAATTTATAGTTATTATTCATTATATACCTAGCTATAACATAAATTTATCAATAGTCATTACAACTTCCAAAATTTTACGATTTGTCGAAGTAATTTGACTCTCTCCAGTTGTGAGTTTGTTATTATAGTAGGTTTACGAACTCAATTTATTTGTTGACAACATATTGCGATATTCAGTCCAATATACAATAATATTTGTACATAACGAAAAATACTCATTTCTATAATACGAAACTTGACTGTGATATTATTCATTTATTTGGTACGTTTTCTTATTTTCATAGATTATATTGAGCTTGTTTAGCTGTTTGGTACTCATTTCTCTATCATATTATATTTCACCTATCATAAACAATTTTGTTTCTTTTTCAGTTGGAGAATGTAAAGAGAAATGGAAAAATTTACGCTATGGTTTTATAAGAAGTTTAAAGCCGAATGCAGATGGTTCTTTGAAGAAGAAGTATTATTTACACGATGATATGGAATTCGTATTACCGTTTGTTAAAGCACTATCAAAACAATTTGGTTTCGTCCAAGCTGCAGTAGAAAATGACACTGACGACGAATTTGTAGACAATCAACTTGACCACTGTGGTCAATCTCCACAACAACACTACTTTGATTCAGATATGCATCAAACTCTAGAGCCACCGAAGAAAAAAAATAGATTACATTGTGACCATATTACTACAAAAAATTTGCACTACAAACATTTGCCTACTGACAGATGTGACGAATCAAGAAAAATGTTTCTCCTCAGTTTATTGCCAGAAATTAAAGAGTTAACTGAAAGCCAAATGAGAGCCTTTAGAAGAAAAGTCTTATCATTAATCGATGAAATTGTGGATACGCCAAACCAGTGTGATACAAATATATTTCAATGGACAAAAGAACCTCATGATGAAAAACCTCTGTTGGAAAACGATCAAATAAAATCTGAGACTCCATAACTTATTTTTTTATTATTTACAACATTATGATTGCGTACAAATTAAATAGTAATATTTTAACAAAAAGACAGTACTACAGTAGATACCTATTGTAGATGCCAATACAATACTTTTCTAAAGCATCACAAGATATCTACAATCGCTGCCCAGGAGTAGCTACGGGACATATATATAGTAGGTACCTACTGCTAGGAGGCATTAGGTACTTAACATAAAATCACACTTTATTTTTGAGCACATATTATTAGACAAAGCGGTTCGGTTAAATATAGATTTACTTCTTAATGTGTAATTTTAATAAATTCTTATAACTTATTGCAAGCGGGCTAGCAGGAGTTGCTATCAGATCTGGCTAGTGCATTTGATATGATTTCCTATTGCAATTATTCAGTTTTTTTTACAGTTGAGGAGACAAAAAAGTTTGCGGTTCATCGGACGGTGATTACCGCCGTCCATGATTACATTTGCCACTAGCAATTTTAGCAATTCTCATGTCATATATTATAAGAAGGATTAAACTTTTTAAGATTTTGATGCCTTACTGGTTCGGAAATACGATTGAGAAAGGTGGCAACACTATGCGTGGTAATAAGTTCCTGGAAAAACGCACAGTGGAGGACGCCAATGCATTCGGATGATAAGGATGATATTTTAGTTTCTGACAGATAATACGATGGTGAAATTCAGTAGCTGGTTAAATTAATCCGAATAATCCACAGAGAGGCAATGTCTCTCCGCAAAGCCAATGGGTCGAGTCTGTCAAACCGACATGTATCACCAATGTGATGCTGCCTGACCTGTGTCCAAAACCGTCTTCGTAAATTTCGGGACTGTACAAACCAAATAGCAGAGCAGGAAAATGCGCAAATTATTTCATCCGTCCTTCTAAAATGCATTATAGAATCTACTAGCTACTAGATAGAGCTGTGTTGGATTGGAATAAAACGGCGAAGCAGAAGTTTTTATTTATTTTTCCTTTAATGACGGCTACAGAAGCAGACAACGACTGAATTCGGGAGTACTAATGTTACTAAAATTTGTTGTCAGTTTCGATGCTCTTGTGACACTTCACGGAGTAGGATATGATTGGAAAATCTTTAAATATAAGTATAAATTAATTGTTAATGTCAATAAAATACTTGCGATTGGACTATAAGTTTATATGACTAACATTTAAATAGGATCATATTATCATGGTTATAAGGGCAGAGGAAGGCCAAAAAAGAGATGGATGGACTGTGTGAATGATGATATGGTAAGATAGGAAGTAAATAACGCGATGACTACGAACAGGGATGAATGGAAGCGAAAAACATATTACGCCGACCCCAAATAAATTGGATAAGGAAGAAGCAAATGATGATTTAAATAGGATCATAAACTGTCTCATTTATAATATTAGTAGAATTATGTTTGCTCAGACTGAAGAACGTCCATCAGAATTAAAATAATCAAAAATAGAATTCAAATATTCGAAATGTGGCCCACATTTCTTATATTTGAAATTCCGATTCGAAGCTGAAGCCAAATGTAAAGAAATTAGCCAAAGTAAAGAAATTAGCCAAATGTATAAAGTACCACTTTGTTGCCAGTACCATAAAATAATTGTTGGCTACCTTTCCTTTAAAACATCACAAATGTTTTTATAACATTTTACGTATAAGTAAGTTACAGATATATAAGCTCCAGAAAAATCCTTAATTATGGTTTTACACGTTTATTAAGTATAACTGCGCTTCTATGTAACTTATTACTTCGATGTGGTAACCTCTTATTTTTTTTTTATCTCAAATTCAATTTACAACTACAAGTAGGTACAGACCATTTGGCCAGTTCAATATCAGTAATCCTCTATACTATTTAAGCCAATATAGTGAAAATAAAAAGAACCGTACATTCTTTACATACCTACATAATAATCGATAAAAAAACATCTAAATAGTTGTTTACGAACGCGACTTATGGATAAAAGAATAGCAATCATATTAACGCCATATAATGATATTGCGCCATCTGTGCCAATCTCGCTGAACTACGCATATTTCAATATCAACAGAATCAAAACTACGGAGAGATGGCAGTACCAATTAGCTATCGAAACAATAATTTAAATAAATTATGCAAAGCATACATAATAAAGGAATCAATTGATACAACATTAAAAGCGCGTTAATTTTTATTAAATTATAACAATTTTAAATAAAAAAAAAACAAAATATTACTTTTTTGTCATTATTGATCAATGACTGACATATTCTATTTGTTATTGTCATTAAACTGTAGCAAATAAATCAGGGTGTAATTTGATATAATTATAATTACTTTATAGGAGCATTCTTGATGGACTTAGTGGTAACTACATTACCAGTTACTTTACTGATAAGTTTATTTCCTTGCCAAACAGCCTCTAAGTTATCATTTGTTTTCAAATCAGCTTGTAGCTTTTCCCAAATTTTCTTTTTGGGATTAAGTACATCATCTGGCTCCCCTGTTTCATATCCTTCCACAACAATTCTATCACCTGGCTTACTGCCTTCTGGGACCAATATTGGCTCTACCTGTTTCGGTTCATCAATTGATGCACACAGCACCATACCTCTGGACTCTATCCCACGCATTTTTGCTGGTTTCAAATTACACAGTACAGCAACACTCCTATTTTGCATTTCTTCTATAGGTACAAAATTGACTAAACCTGACACAATAGTTCTAGGTGCTCCTTCACCTAAATCAATTTTTTCCACATACAATGCATCAGCATCTGGATGTCTTGAAACCTCTACAATTTGGCCTACTCGTATATCCAACTTTGATGGGGTTATCTCATCAATATTGTTAGCACCCTTATTTTTTGTTGGTGGTGGATATGCTTTTTTTGATAGCTCCTGCAGTTTGGGATCTTTGAATATTTCTTGAATTGGTGCTAAGAGTTTATTAATTGCTTGTTCAACAGACAGCTTCAAATCTCCAGGATGAATGTTCTGCTTAGCAAATTCTGCTTCTAAGTCCTCATAATTGGTAAATTCAATATCACCACCATGATCTGGTGCTCTAGAAATCTTAAAAGTCTCACTTAATTTTAGTAATGGAAATATTACATGTTTACTGAAAGATAAAACTCCATTATCAATGATATTTCCAGGTTCACAAAAAGCTTTCTTAAGTTTCTTTTTTACATTTGCTGGGTTATCCAATAGATCAATTTTACTGTCCTCCTCGGATGCTGACATTTTTCCACCTGTCAGACCAGGAACCATAGGGTTCATAAGATGGGATCGCTTAGCATATCCAAGTGATGGAAGATACTTCTCAGCCAATGTAAATATTTTTCTCTGATCAACACCCCCAAACTGAGCATCAACTTTCAAATACTCTTCATCAAGGGCTTGCAACCCAGGATACAACAAGCCACTTAATAATGGATGCTCAACTTGTTTCACTACCTCTGCGCCAGCTTTCTTTGCATCATGTTCAGTAATAACTGAAGACATACGGTAAACATCTAAAGTATATTCCTTACTAAGTTGATAGTCAGTACCTCTAACAAACTTCAGTTTCTCTAGTGAAACACCAATAGACTGAAGCATTGCTTTGATAGCAGCTTCATAGTATTGGGTGCGAAGGATTAATAAATCCCAAGGAGCTTTCATATTATCCAAATAAGCATGTAAATCTGCAAATAAGATTGTCACCTCACAGCCAGCTCTCAGAAAATCGGCTATCTTCGACATAGGTACAAAATAAGCTATGTGGGGACGTCCAGTAGTAGCAGTACCCCAATAAATCTTCAGGTCCCTTTCTTTCAAAATTTGATTAATCTTTTCTTCTCCTAAAACCTCTTGAAGGTTACGAATTATAAAATGCTTTTTTTCTTCAAAATTCGCCATGGTTGGTGAAATCTGTAAATCAAAATTGAACACTGATTTCACTTGCATTTCATCATTTAAATCCAGTGGTCAAACAGCGAATGTATGTCACTTGTTATCAAAAAATATAAATAGAAAACTGATTTAACATTTTCACTCACCGTTACTGTATGATATATTGACGAAGCACTTTTATTAAACTTTGTTAATCAATTATTTTACTTATGTTACAAGTTTATTTTTACACGTCAATAAAATGTGTAGAAGGTATTAACCTATAAAACTTACTTAATACTTAATTATTACTGTAATGGTAAAAATGTAAAATTTAAATAAATTTACTGTGTAACAGACAACAATTACCTGAACTATAAGTTAAATATATACGAATATTCTATGTAATTACTATGAAAAATGACAAAATATTGAAAAAAACAATACTGTGAAGTTAGTAGCAGTTAGAAATTAACTTGTTGCCAACTACTAATTGGCGCTAGTGTCGCAGTGAATGCTTGCGTTTCCTGTCAAAAGCGCCATTGCGCATGACAGTCAGTGCGGCCTTGCAGACAGAAGAGCGCTGCCAACAAAGGCCGAGTCGATGGGGTTACAAAAAGAATAATTTGGACTTCTAAAACCCTTTTGTTGTTGTAATTATAATTTTATATAGGTTGTGAATCTGTGATTACGGTTAAGAAATGTGTGAATGATTATGAATCGTGACGACTAGCAAAGGAGTCAGCTGGTCAACAGTGCGAATAGTGAATAAGAAATGGCGGCCTTGCCAGCAGGTGTTCAGTATGGGTTATCATCGGAGTCTAGTTATAAAGAAAACAAGGAACTAGTGTTTGTGAAATTAACGGATTCAGCATTGAAAGCAATTGAAGACTTTATTAAAAATAATAAGGTAAGTCTAATCGCCATATTGTTGTACCAAAATATAGATAAGGTAACAATGTCAGAGGCGCCATACTTATTACTGTAATCGAAATGAAATTGCAATTTTATTCCTTTTTAATATATTATAGTAGCTAGTTAGGGCAATAGTTGATTATAAAATGAGTATACAAAGTTGTGTCATATTGGACTCCACTTTACAATGTCACGCCACGTCAACATGCAAAAATTGTACTCTGTTATTTTCACAGATTTAACATTTCATACGGCTATAATTAGAGAATTGTGGTCTTATTGTTACGGAATTCTACGTATACAGAGGAGTTATATTACAATTTCCAAAGGTATCCGTTTTGAATCAAAATCCGATTTGAGATGCTTTGATTTTAATTTATTCTGAATTATGAAAACGTTCAAGAACATCCACTTCATTCGTAACTGACGTACCTTTTAATGGAAAAATACCACAAATATTATATCTTTATAGCAAATATTACAAAAGACTTTTTTAAAAACTACTTACTACATATAAATGTCAAAATGAATGTCAGAATATCATTTGAACTCGAATAATCTATATAGTGTTGTTGTGAATGATAAGAATGAAGATACCTTTCACAATATGGTTAATCATATTCTGCTTGTTTATTTCACGTCTATATTTTCTATAGAAACTAAAAGTAACTATACAATAATAATAATTGTCAAATTAAAATGACATATTTAATAAAGTTTGCAAATTGTGTTGATTTGAGTATAAAAAAATTATATCTTGTCTGTAACTCATAATTTCTACCAATTCTGTAAATTTTCCCAATGTTTACAATTATTTTAACATTTATAGAGCAATTAAATATTTTATTGTTTTGAAAATAAGGTAATAGACAAACCCTAACTAGTTACTTCTAACAAAGTAAGATGGCGCTGGCAGTTCTAATGGTTTCAATAAAGTTAATATACATTAAACAATTAAAATGTGATTTTTTTGGTAGTTTGTTCAAACATAATAGACCTCAATATTGGAATGCCAGAATAACTATGTATTTTATTTAGTTATTACTCACTTGTGCATGAACACATAATTTCCTATGTAAAAGACCCTTGGAACTTGAGCATCATTTTTATTTAATTTCATCTTGGATTTTCTCCATGAAGTATTAAAACGCTATAAAACTTATCAAGTTCAATAGATCTCTGAACTAACTAGTAATTGTCCTAAATAAAACCACCACAAAAATTCATTCCCGGATAGGTGCAAAAATACTAGTAAGTACAATTTTAAAAAAGCCATTATGTAATTAAAAGTAAGATATTAAAGTATATAATTAAAATTATAAATTTATAACAAAATTACATTGAATATTAAATTTATAATAAAAATCCTGGGCAATTCACACACCACCATCAAGTCGCGAGCTATGCAAATTTAGTAATGGATACTAAATAACTGATATTTTTAAAATATTTACTTAATATATATTTATTTACTTTTTGTAGATACATACATTATAAATAGCAAACCCCCAGACCAATACAAACATTCCTACACATGAATAAAAATGTTTTGTGCCATGTGAAAAACCACAATTATCGAAAGTAAGGTGATGTGCAAAGTGTTAGACCACAGAGGCTGTCGTTATTAAATGTATATAATTATTTTAGAAAGGTATTTAATTCTGATTATACTTAATTTGCCAATTTTGTGTTACAATAAATACAAACTCATAATACTTAGTATCAATCATTGATATGATATTAAATATCTATTCTGTTACATTATTATATTAAGTAATATATAATTTGAATAGATTATAAATAATTAACTACATTCATTAATTAGCAGTCAAATATATTTAGTTTTTTTTTATTTGAAATGTAAACAATGAAATAATATTATAATGACTAATTTACTTAATTAAATGTTTCCAACCTGTGCATCTAAAAAACAAATGTGTTAAAAAAATCATATCCTATCACTGAATGCACATACCATTTTTATAATATAACATGGTATACACCAAAAAATTACACCTGTGTATACAAAAATAGAACTTTATCTTATCAAATACATAACAGATAAATAAATCATTGCATTATATAAACTAGATGAACATTTTACATTTAATTTGTAAGTGTTGCATTCCAATCACTCACAACTGGTTTTACATATTAACATTAGATGTCTCCTTGACATTTTAATAGTTTCCAAGGAGTTGAAATTTTCTATCATATAAATGTTACCTATACTTATATCGATAAATGAATACTTGATAAAAACAAAATCAGTTTTGAACTTAAGAACACTTTTATGACCTACTTCTGAATGTGGTTATATTATGAATTTTGAATTACATTTTATCTTACATAATAATGGGACTCTAAGCAGTTGAAATCTTCTATCATGTAAATGGTGTACTTATTTTATTAACAAATGAAAACTTAATGGAATAAAATAGGTTTTGAACTTTATAAACTTTTTATTAGCTACTACTGTGGTTATATTATAAATATTGTATTCTATTTTATCTTACATAATAAAAGGATAAGTTGTGTTTTTTGCAGGTATTTACAATAATTATGATATTAATGTCAGTTCAAAACATAGGCTTAAATTTGTGATTCATTTTAGTAATATTGTTCAGGTATATTAAATAATTATACTCATTATCTGCATATATATTTACTATACATAAATTAAGCCCTATATAATGTGCCACAATTGACTACATTGGGCAAACGCTGTAGGTGAAGAAGAATCAAAAAGGATATTATAGTTACATGGAAAATAAGTATAACATATAATATAATGTTTATATTACCTACCTTATAACCTTCTCTGTAACACTGTGAGCCTTACCTATGTTCTATTATTTGTGGAAGGGAAATATAATAGTACCAAAACTAAATATCCTAATGATACAACCAGTGTAGTGTATAAGCAAGTAAGGTAACAAGCCTGGAATTTAATATCTGTGAATAGTTATGTTACACATGATCAGTGTCATTTCAAGAAATTTAACTGATGAAAAGATCCTTTGATCTCCTTTCATTTTTAATTAGGTGAACCTAATACACAATGTCTCATCCAATTATGAAACCAACTTTAATATATATATATATATTTTAATTAAAATATTAGTGTAATAAAATAAATCATTCACTATGATGGTGCTTTATCCTAAGAAGTTCAATTACTTTTCCAGAAATACTCTTTGCCTTGATTTAAGTACATTTCTGAATAATTCCCACTCTATCACTGTCTTAGACTATTATCAGATTTAGATCTTATAGGTGGCAATAGTGATGGGACATTTATCATGCAGTAATCTCTTACACAAATGTAATGAAGTAACTGAATCCCAGGAAGGTTAATTCAGATGCTTCATCTTCATCATTTACACATCAAATTCAAGTTGAAATATTGATTAATTATTATTATTATTACTTTGGGGATAATAAGTAATCATGACATGATTTTGATTTTCCATTATTTTACCTTCAAAGTAATAATGTGCATAAAATCTTTAACTGTTCTCTTAGTCTAATTAATCTAGAATCCTGGTCCAGAAAAAAACAAGTGCCATATATTTCTGATTTAGTCATCAGACAGTAGGATGTTTTTAATTGTGATTAAGATGGATCTAGTATTAGTAACCGTTTCCGCTTATTTAGTTTTTTTAAATTAATTATCAGCTATGTATATCAAGCTAGGTGTTAATTAATACAATATCAAGAAAACATATTATATGCTCATAATAAGGGTTTCTGTACCCACAATACCGATATGAGCCGGACGGCTCGTGCCAACAAAGCCGTTAGATTAGAGCTACACTCTGCACTCTTTGGAAATCCACTAGTGGAATGGTTTCGTCGGCATGGGTCATTCGGCCTGAACCTGTATTGTAAGAGCCCAGTCTAAGACATAATTATTTTTTATTGTAAACACATCGTAATTATGTGTATGCAAATTAGTGGAAAAAGTTTTATTTACTAAGTTTGTAAGATACCTCCATCTATCCCTATAAACTTGTACGGTTATATTTCTTTAAAGTAACTAGATTATCTTGCTTGAAATACTAGAAATAAAGTTAAGCATTATTCAAAAGAGGAAGTACAATTATTGTAACGAAGTAAATATTCACTCGTGTTCTTTGCTATCGTATGTATACCAATAATAATCTGTAACAGTTTGGTTAGTATAAAGAAATAGATAATAGTTTAATATTAAAAGACTAATTGAAAACTTTTCGCACTTATTTAAGTAAGTTATTACATAACATATAACCAAAAATAAACAAGCAAATTGATTACCACTTTCTTTTTTCATTTAGGTTTAAAAACCAACATCAACTTTTTCTTTGAAGTTGCATAAAAATAATGCGTTGTCCTATAGAAAAGATTTTATCCCTCAAATTATTTGCGTTGAATTATAAAAATAAAAATTTCAAATAAACATTAAGATGTCAGAAAATATCTACTTGTTTAATATTGATTAAAATTGTTATGTTGTTGATATGCCTTAAAATTTAATATTCAATCGTGTGTATTGCCAACATAAACAGTTTATTTTGTAACATCGAAGAACGGATCTGTTCACCCACCTGATTGTGATTCCCTAGTCAATGCACGTGTTTAAACTGCGATGTGTATCTTTTGTGGCGACCTATAGATTACGGGCACCTATTCTTTATGCTTGCCAAACGATTATCAACATTCTCCCTACTTGTCAAAATTCAAGTTTCCATAAACTCTGGGACTTACGTCAGGTCTACTGGCAGTTTTTTGTTACCGCTTTGTGAACGAGCCACCTGGACTTTTTTCCTGACTTTTGAATACATCTTGGAGAATGAATCACTTTTGAAAAGCCCAAGTTAGAGCAGTGTGTCCAGTTTATAAATTAGGAATATATGTACCGTCTTGATTGACCGTATCAACCATTTCATTTGGACAGAATAGTTTAGCAATTGATGTAGTTTTAACTCACGCATAATATTACTTATTTATTATTAA